TTTTGCTTGCTGGAGCCAAGCCCACAGTTCTGCAAGTGTTTGTATGTAATTTTACACGTGCAGTCAAAGGGATTGCTCACATTGTACAGTTACTTCTGCATAAGGACTTTCTGGATTCAGCAGTTAAATTGTTAAGACTTGATAGAGGCTGCTAAAACACAGCCTTACTCAAGACAGTAGATTCAAGTGGTAATTTTTACTTTAAAGTTTTATAATCAGAATATGATTTTTCAATTAATCTGTGGTGTGCTGCTTAAGCCTTTTTTCTTTAAAGTTTCAAGTAGGTTGCTGGTGGGGTGAACCCATATGTGCTTGAAAGAAGAATAACTTGCTCTATATCAGTCTATTTCTGACACTTAATTTTTTAAAAAAACAGTAAGATTACACTACTGCTTTTTTTCCTAGAGTCTCTTAAAGTGTGAGCAAGTGAAACTCCGGGTAGATTTCCCAACTGTGGTTTTGATGTCTTTCTGTGTGGAACTGATGGCAGGATTTGTTCGAGTATGTAGGCCACTATTGTATTAGAATTACATAACCATGTTGAGTGGTGGAAACAGATGAAAAGACGGGGATGCACGGCGTCCCCTCACAGATTATACCCTGCAACAATGAAGACAGCTCAAGCTCTGCACAGAATGTGGTCACATGCAGTCAAAAAGTTGGGGATTTTGAAAGGGCACGTGAGTTGCTTTATGTTGCATCTTGCTCCAAGTCTTAACTCCCCACCCCCCTCCCCTTGTACGTCCCTTCTCTCTCCAACTCACTTTTGTAGCCGGATAACCGTTGTAGCAGGTCTGGTTTTGTTCTTTCAGCGTGAATGAAGTTGTCTCTGGTGATCTCTCAGTAGCAAGTAGTTGCCTAAATCTCTGGTGACTGTCAGTGAGAGCTGCAACTGCTGCTTGTTAGTAGCACACAGACGATTTTAGCACTTTGACTAGTTTCCTGCCAAAGATTCTGTTAAGCAGTCTATTTTGGGCATGTAGAAAGCGCCTGTCGTTTTGGTATATGAGCATTAGCAGATTTAAGCAAGTCCTGACTACAGTGTTCTAATTAGAAATGGAGTGACTTTAGTCACTAATGAATTTAGGCTAATTACAGTAATTTGCATTTACTGCAGGTAGCCTGAGTAGACTTGCTAAACAGTTACTATTACTTACTGGAGGTGGGGTTCTTAAGCCATTTTGACTGCCTTTCCAGTGTTTTGGTGTGCAATTTGGCAGTGAAACTGATTCTATATGGAATGCACAGGCTGCTCAGGACCCCTTTGTGTTTCCTTACAGATGAAGTATGAAGAAATTGGCAAGGTGATGGAGGCTTTTGGTAATCCATCACTTGATGCAGTCAGAGCAGAGTTGTATTATTAGATGTGGAATACAGACATTTTGTGATTTGTGGTGAAGACTTCAATTTTAGTTCTGATCAAGTCCTCAACTGATGCTTTATAACACTTGTAGTTTCTGCCTCCCTCTCAATCTTATCTTCTCCATTAATCTGTTAGTATGGGTTTGCATCATGGCAGTGGCGAACAGCAGTATGCTTTATATGTTAAAGAGATTATTGCTTAGAGATTTGAGGGAGTACAGATGTGTTTTGTGTCTTATGGGCTTCCAAGGTGACCATTCAGTTCTCTGAACTGTGTTACAGAGCCTGCACAGCTTTATCAGTGTGGCAGAACTAGTCCTGTTGTCTTGGTAATTATGTTGCACAAAATCGGTTTTGCAAGTATGTATTTTCCTTCGTTAATATAGCATACGGCAAATAAGAGACAGTTTCACAAGGAGCAGTTTCTAAAAATGTATTGCTTTAACAAATACTTAGGAACTTAAAAGTGGATTATTTTGTTTAATGTTCAGTAATGGTTTCAAGCTAAAAATAAACTTCCAACATTTACACAGACAGTACCTGAGACAGTCACTAATAAGGAACTTTTTGTAAGTACAGATGAGATGATACTATAGGCTCAACATATTGCAAGACCTTAATTGTAGTGTCTGTAGGCAGTAGTTTCTCTTCCATTTCTATTACTTATTTTTGTGGCCAGATACCACGAGACCTATTTGTCAGAGCAAAATAAATTTAACCCTCTTAGTTTATGATGCTTTGATTTACTACACAATGCATGTCTCCAGTCATACACAAGACTTTACTTGTGCCACTGCTCATGGGAGGCCTAATTTTCTGGAAGGAAGTTCCTGTAAGCTTAACCTGTTTCATACCCATAAATCAGTTCCAAATATCTTTACTTGTGCTTTCCTTAGTCCTTTTTGTGCAGTGCTGTAGTGAATAAGCAGTCATTTCTCAGACCTTCCTTTAGCAGGTAGTGTATTAAAAGACCTGGTATTAAAAGTTTCTGGAAAAGGAAGGCAACTGTGCTGCTTTTTGTCCCTGTGGTCATTAAGCTCTCGTCGATTGCATCCTTCCCACCTTGCTATTATACTTGCACAGAGCTGGACTCTGGGCTGGGAAGTAGTGTTGGTAAGAACCCCATACACCATAAACTGAATTTAAGTGATATTCTTATTACAAGTCTAAGTTGTTAAGGGTTTTATACAGTGAGAAGGATGGAAAAAAATTTCCATCTCCCCCGCTTCTACAAAATTTGAATGCACCTGCTTGTCCTTCAGTTTGTACCCATCATTTGATACTGTCTTTCATTTCTAAAACTTTTTTCAGTGAAGTCAACTGGAATTTATATGACACTGAGGGCCTACTTCAGCACAGACTGGTTTTCTGCAGAACTTACAAATATATAGAAAAGCAGGACAGTGATGGTGTAGCCAAGTGTCAGTAGTAGGTAAACTGCTTACATGTTTTCATACATGCCAGACAAGCAAGCTTAGTCACTTCTATTTACTGCAACATCACAGAGCTCAGGAAACAGTGCTTAGTTAAGGAGAAGTTTTTTACTGATGGAAAGGTCTCTGTATAAGGAAATACATGTAGTGAGACAATTCAGTGTCAGCTAGTTTTGAAGGATTAGACGTGTCAGCTGGTTAAATAGGAATATCAGGTAAAGTAACTTCATGTGCTTCAGCAGAGTAATTCACTGACCCAAGACATATGTGTTTTTAATACTAGCAGTTAAAAATGTCACTAATTCTTGTCTGATCTAGGTGCAGAGAAATAAGAACTACTTACTTGCATTATTTTTAATATAAGCCATCCTCTCCTCCAGGTATTTTGAATTATTTTTTTAAATAGACCCAAAAGGTTCTGGAAACTGGAAAGCATTGTTCATTTTTCTGGGAAAGTGGTGGAAATTTAACACCATTCAGTGCTGTAAAATTCTTGGTAAGGGGATGCTGAATGTTTTGCATATTCTCTCAGGAACTCTGAGCAGGATTATAAGTTTATATTTCAGTTTAGTGAATGTGCAACGTAAAATGTAAATCTAGTTCCTCTTTGGGGTGCTCAGAAGAATACATAATGGGGTTCTTTGCATTTGAGAAACAGTATCCATAGGTCGCTGAACAGTTGTGTACTGCCAGAAGAGTTACTCTGGAAGTACGGGGGATGCTTTAAAGTACAAGCATACCCCTCTTGTGTCACTTCTCTCTAATTTTTGGAGTTTAGTTGACAGAAATGCCTTTAATGCCTTTAAAAAGATGGTTAAGTCAGAACTGAGCTTCTGTCTGAGCTTTGGTTTTCTGAGCAAACTCTCAGCTTCCCAAGAAAGAAGACCACTTTTTGCAGTAAAAAAAAATAAACCTGTGGCTTGCATATGTCCATGCACATACTTGTGCAATGCCTGGATTTTTCTTCTGCAAAGGATGCTTTGCATTTTGAAATATTTGCAGTGCATCAAATATTGTGGTTCATTTTTCTCCTCATTTAAAAGGCACTGAAAGGCCTCCCTGTGTACTATATGATGCATCACAGCTGGGTGATTATTCTGTATTATATTTTAAGCTGTGATGTTGGAAAGGTTTCAGGTTATATCATTTAAGATAAACTGATCAGTTCAGGATCAGTTTTAACTGGAAATGTTGAAAAAAAATATTTCTGAGAAGTGTCACAGAAATGGATATACCATTGCTATACAGTGATACACTGTGTTTTTCTATAAAATTTAATTTCTTGAGGGGAACCTAAATACTCAGTTATGTAATTCATAGCGGACAAAACATTTTGGTAAATGTGCATGAACAAGAAGCAAAAGATCAAAGGCTGGCTTGTTTTGAAAACCTCAAGGCCAACTGCTAATCTTATTGCATACTGGAATGGAGAGGTCTTCCTGAAGTATTTTGTGCATTATTTGAATCGGGGCTACATGATGCTGATGTGATCTTAATTAAATGCTTTTGCTGAATGAGACTTTTCCAGAAAGTCAGAAAGAGCTGTTAAATTGGTTAAATGTGAAGGGATTGTACCATCTCCAACCTATTAACCTTTTTTTCCTTTTTTAAAGAAATAACAACATTAATTGAAGTGTATCATTTTCATACGAACTCTGCCAAATTATAAAAATATGCACATTATTCTTATACCTGTGTTTTAATGGAGTATTTCACATTTCAGCTTAGACATTTTTATGCTTTGTGTTTTACTAATTGGTTTCTGTGTGCAACAGGCCCCAGGCATGGAAGAGCTGATATGGGAACAGTACACTGTGACCTTACAAAAGGTGAGTGAATGCCTGCTGTATTTTTAGTTTTCAAATATTCAAGCACTGGTTTAGTCTAAATATGTTTTACATTAGAAATTACTAGCATATGTGAGTCTAGAATAGAATTAATTCTTTGTCCAGATGAGATATTTTTCATTTTAAAGGTTAATTGCTAGCTACTCATACAATAGGTTGACTCTTAAATTGTTAATTTAATTTTAACATTGAAGTCCTATATTTGCTACTCTTTGGTCTTTCTAATGACAGTATAATATACCACGTGGCAGCCACATAGCTAAATTCATCATTGAATAACCTTAAAAACAAAGCAGATGGTTCTTTCAAGCACTTGTGGTTAATGTCCAAGCTTAATAATAACCACTGAACATGATTCTACTGATTTATTTTTTTAAAAATATACTTCAATATCTACCAGTGTATAATCTAGTTGAAAATTACTAAATTACATGGACTATAGATGTCACTTTTAACAATTCTTCTAAGAAATGAGGAAGTGTCTCATCATGTGGAGTCCTTTTGAGCTAAAGAAACTAGACCTCTTGTTTCTGAGATTTTTAATAGCTAGGCTGCCACACCATGGTGCAGAATATGCTCTTTGGAGGTGGTGGTGGTCTTCCCACCTCTTCTGATGATCTGGGGCCAGCGAGCAGCCTGTCCACGCTGCGTATGTTTTTTTCACGTGTTCTGCAATGAACTTAACTTGATGGCCTGAGGTAAAATAGTGATCTTTCCTACACAGCGTGTTTTATGTGCTGAATTTTTATGCACTGTTGAGAAAGGACTGTTTTTCAGGTTACAGAGGCAGACAGCAGAAACATTGCAGAAGTAGATACTAGGTCCCATAATTTGCAACATTTCAGACCTTGAGTATGTTGTAAATGAGCATTACTGCTTTGCCTCAGAGACAGGCTTGTACTACTGAAATGGCAAAGGGCTATTGGGCTTGCTGCATCAGCCACTACTGATGAATTTTCCCATTATTTTTAATTCCATATTGTTTTGGCTTGGAGCATCGAACTGCTTCCTGTAAAACTCAGGTGCACCAAGTGAAGTGCTGTTTAAAAAAAACCTGTTTTTTTTCCTTCCTCAAAGAATTAATGTTATACGTAATATTGACATTAGTGGAACACAAGCTGGCATGTGATGAACTGCACATGCTGAGTGAGAGTTGTGGGAAAAGGACCACTTTAATTTGTTTTATTACTTTGCCACTATGTTATAATATTTGTCTAAATGTGGCTTAATTGGTATTTTATAGTGATAGGAGGTCTGTGTTAAATAGCTGATAAGATTAAACCTGTGTGTTTAATGCAACATGGTTTTGTGCACACCCTCTGCTCTGCAGTTTGATTACAGTAACAGTTCTCAGGTTTGTGTTATAGACATGCTTCCTTCGTACCCTATAAAGTATTTTCCCAATTTTATGAATGCAATCTTAGGGCTTTTACGGGTCTGATATTTCTGTGATGATAGGTTTGACGTGAATTACTTATTTACAGTAGCTGATTGTGAGAAAGGATAATTACAGAGAATTCACAAGTTCACTGCTTGCTTTTTGTGATCAGCCATGGTCTTTTTAGTCTGATTGAGGAGTAAGTAGTTATTGCAAACTAAGCATAATGAAGATGAGATCCTGGAAAAGCTGTTCCAGTTTCCCAATAGCATCAATAGCAAAATAGATCTATCTAACAGTAAATTTGATATGAATAACCTGTGGGATGATGGTGCAAAATGCAGGCTAAGTTAGTGAGTCCTTTGCTTAATTACTAACAATCACAAGGCTGTAGACTGAGGTTTTGGAACATGAGAAAATATTATCTTGTTAAATGGATTTGTAAACCCATTCCTTTTTAAATCTTGAAGTGTTGTGTGTTTCTGCAACACTCTGCGCACAACTACCATATTTTAAATAATTTCTAGGTAGAGTGCCATCACAGGAACATTATGTTACTCTTTTTTCTCTCTATCAAAATTCATACGGATGAAATTACATTTTGTTGTATTTGTTGTAAAGGATTCAAAACGAGGATTTGGGATTGCAGTTTCAGGCGGCAGAGATAACCCTCATTTTGAAAATGGTGAAACATCGATAGTCATTTCAGATGTTCTCCCAGGTGGTCCAGCAGATGGATTACTTCAGTAAGTGATTTCTTATTTCTCTGTCTGGCATATTTTGAGGGACATGGCTGTAGAGTACATAAAACCTTTAGACACACTTGGTTGAAACCCTGGTGATTTAATCCACTGAAGATTTTGTGTTCTCTTGAAAACCTGGATGTCTGTTTTAAATTAAAAGTGAACAAATACCAAAAAAAAAAACCATGCACCCCCAAAAAAAACCCCACACAGTTTCCCCCCCCAACACACACACCCCAAACTTCTCATGGAAGTGTTTTTATGTGCTAATTTTGCAAGAAATTAAATTCTAGTGCTGTGAAAAGCTTCTATACTTAAGTATGTTTCTCTTAATGTTGTATTTCTTTTAAAGAAACAGTAGAAATACTCAGAGTCTTAAAACATTCTCCCTGTTCATAGAATCATAGAATGGTTTTGGTTAGAAAGGACCTTAAAGATCATCCTGTCCAACCCCCCTGCAGTGGACAGCAACACCTCCACCAGACCAGGTTGCTCAAAGCCCTGTCCAACCTGGCCTTGAACACTTCCAGGGAGGGGACATCCACAGCTTCCCTGGGCAACCTGTGCCAGTGTCTCACCAACCTCACAGTAAAGAATTTCTTCCTAATACCTAGTCTAAATCTGCCCTCTTCCAGTTTAAAACCATTACCTCTCATCTATCAGTATGCTCCCTAATAAGAGTCCATCTCCATCTTTTCTGTAGGCCCCTTCAGTTATTGGAAGGCTGCTTCTCCAGGCTGAATAATCCCAACTCTCTCAGCCTGTCTTTAGAGGGGAGGTGCTCCAGCCCTCTGATCATCTTCATACTCTCCTCTGGACTTGCTCCAACAGCTCCATGTCCTTCTTGTGCTGGTGGCCCCAGAGCTGGATGCAGTACTGCAGGTGGGGTCTCAGCAGAATAGAGGGAAAGAATCACCTCCCTCGATCTGCTGGCCACGCTTCTTCTGATGCAACCCAGGATGCGGTTGGCCTTCTGGGCTGGAAGTGCACATTGACGGCTCATGTTGAGCTTCTCATCAACCAACACCCCCAAGTCTTTCTCCTCAGGGCTGCTCTCCAGCCATTCTCTGCCCAGCCTGTATTTGTGCTGGGATTGCCCCTACCCAGACGCAGGACCTTGCACTTGGCCTTGTTGAACTTCATGAGGTTGACACAGGCCCACCTCTCCAGCCTGTCCAGGTCCCTCTGGATGGCATCCCTTCCCTCCACCGTGTCAACCACACTACACAGCTTGGTGTGATCTGCAAACTTGCTGAGGGTGCACTCGATCCCGCTGTCCATGTCACTGACAAAGATGTTAAACAGCACCAGCCCAAATACCAACCCCTGAGGAATGCCACTCATCACTGATCTCCACTTGGACATCGAGGTGTTGACCACAATTCTCTGAGCCATTCAGACAATTCCTTATCCAGAGTGGTCCATCCATCACATCCATGTCTTTCCAATTTAGAGACCAGTGTGTTGTCCGGGACAGTGTCAAATGCTTTGCACACGTCCAAGCAGATTACATCAGTTGCTGTTCCTTTATCCATAAACAATGTAATCCCATTGTAGAAGGCCACCAAATTTGTCAGGCATTATCTGCTCTTAGTGAAGACATCTTGGCTGTCACCAATCACTTCCTCATTTTCCATATGCATTAGCAGAGCTTCCAGGAGAATCTGCTCCATGATCTTGCTGGGCACAGCAGTGAGACTGATTGGCCTGTAGTTCCTCAGGTCTTCCTTTTTCCTTTGTAATAATGGGGGTTATGTTTCCTGTTTTCCAGTCTCTGACAACTTCACTGGACTGACATGACGTTTCAAATATGATGGATAGCAGCTTAGCAACTTCATCTGCCAGTTCCCTTATGACCCTGTGGTTGTGTCTTATGAGGTCCCACGGAGTTGTGTACCTTCAGGTTTCTTAAATGGTCCAAACCAGCTCTACTCCTACAGTGGGTGATTCTTCACTCTCCCAGTCCATCCCTTTGCCTTTTGTGGCTAGGGTGGTGTGGCTTGAGGATTTGCCAGTGAAGACTGAGGCAAAAAAATGCACTGAGTACCTCATCCTTCTCCATATCCTGGGTAACCAGGTCTCCTGTTCATTCTGGAGAGGGCCCACATGTTCCCTGGCTTTCCTTTTATCACTGATATCTCTATAGAAGCTTTTCTTGTAGCCTTTGACATCCTTGGCCAGATTTAGTTCTATCAGGGCTGTAACTTTCCTGACTTGGTCCCTGGCTGCTCAGACAACTTCTCTGTATTCCTCCCAGGCTCCCTGTCCTTGCTTCCACCCTCTGTAGGCCTCCTTTTTGTGTTCAAGTTTGTCCAGGAGTTCCTTGTTCATCCATTCAGGCCCCCTGGTGTTTTTGCCTGACTTCCTCTTTGTTGAGATGCAGCACTCTTGAGTTTGGAGGTTATGGTCCTTGAATATTAACCAGTTTTTTTCAGCCTCCTCCCTCCATGCTTCATTCTTTGGTCCTCTACTAAGCAGGTCCCTGAACAGGCTAAAGTCAGCATTAAGTTTGATACTCTCTTTGGACATATAGGCTGTGAAGAGATCTGCTTAAACTCTCATATAGAGCCTGCGTGAGACTGATAGTGGAATACAGTGTGCGCTTTTGGCATACTCACACAGTACCAGAAACTGGAAGTGTACGAAAGGCACAAAAATCATTCAGGAGGTAGAGAAAGTGCCTTACAAAGAGAGACTTAAAGTATGTAATCTTCTTATTTAAAAAGAAGATTGTGATGTGACTTGATTACAGTGAAGAGAGAATAATGGGTACTAAAGATTTCTTTTACGTAGCAGAAAACACCACAGTAACCAGTAAATGGTTGAGCTAGTACTCTGACTGAAAGGTAAGTAACTGAGTAGTCACTAGTATAAACTAATAGGAGGAGTGGTAGATTTTTTTTTCATCTCCTGCACTTTTTGCACTGAAATACCTTTCTGAAAGATATAAGGTTTTTTAATTAATCATGTATTATAGGGTTGTCTCCTGTGGTTGACTGAGTTAAGTTAATGGTCTATTTGGCATGCAGGAGGTCTGAATAGACAAGTTAGTAATCTCTTATGGCCTGTGTTTTAGGGCAGGGAGGACTTTTTAGTTCGGCAGTTGGTTTCCCTCCCTTGCCCCCCCAGTCATCTTTAGAGTAGGTGGGACGTGAATACTAGTCTTTCAGAAAAGTACTAGCGTGGTGCTTGTCGAGATTTGTCTGAATACTACTATGGCTGAAGATATTTGAAGCTCTCTTGAAATTCTTATGTTGGTGTGAAAAAAATCTAGCATGAGGTGTCAAAGACTAGGACTTTTGAAAGAACTAAAAAAAAAATAAAGGTTTTAATGGTCATCACAAATATTCTTTAAAAAACAAAATCTTCTTTGCCATTATGGTAAGGTATTTATTTAAGCTGGACATAGTATATGTACAAAGATTCACGCTACTACCCAAAGTCTAATTTTTAAACATAACTGAAAGCTACTTCTGGTATTAAGTATGAAATCCATAGGTTGCTCCTGAAGGAAAAAAAAAAAATTGTTCTGGTGTTTTCATGAAGACTTCTCTTAAATCCTTTTTTTTTTTTTCTTTTTTCTTTTTTTTTTCCCCCTCTGTCCTCTTCCAGAGAAGATGACCGGGTGGTCGTAGTTAATGGGACCCCAATGGCAAATGTTACACATTCTTTTGCAGTCCAGCAGCTTAGGAAAAGTGGAAAAGTGGCCACCATTGTAAGTAAATTAAAGATGTATTCATTCTACAGTGGTATGTATCTGTGTAACCAGTCAAGATTTGGTTTTCTTCTATGAATTGTACTATAAATGTGTAAAGCAAACCAAGCCTTTGCCAAACGCGTACAAATTAAATAAAACATAGTTTCTACAGGTAAAACAAATGGAAATGAAACAACAGTGTTACAAAGTT